TTTTAATTTAGCCATTCTGATACAATAGAATAAGCTTATTTCTTTCCATACAGCATAGCCTACAATCCATGATTCTAGAGAACTTTTTTCTGCTTTGTTTTAGAAAGAGAACATCTTTAGATTTCAAAACCAGGGTAATTGGTCTCCTCTGCTTACTTCAGTGTCTTAGTAGCACATTGCCTGAAGTGCTATATGTACTTGTTCTGTACTTTAAATCCATAATATGTATTTGCTTTATTATTGTTTTTTAAGTTGAAAAATATTGTTAAAACTGTATTGGGTATCTTAAAGACTGTGTTAGGAAAAGGAAAGGTTAGATACTTTGTTGGGAAAGGAAAATATAAATTTCAGCCATCTGTTATCAGCACCTTAAACTTAATTTGATTTTCCTTGTTTTATTTCTAGCTGGAGAGTTGTTGAACTTCAGCCTTTAGAAAAATCCCAAACAGATGAAGAAGAGGTAGGTTGTATTTTAATTAAACCAGTAGGTTTATTTAAAGTAGATACAATATGTAATTGGGGTAATTGGTATATTCTTTCTGAAAACACCAACTCCATACAAATCCCAGTAAGTTTCAAAAATAAAGTGATTGTGAAAATATATTTTATCCCTCCAGTGGAAGACAGAAATGGAAGTATACCATTAATACTCCTTGTTCATTGTTTGTCTGGCTCTTCTGCCCTTTGCTGCTGCACAGTCAGTGATCCTAAAGGGTCCACTGTAATGCTCCCAGTGTCTCCTGGGGCCACCAGGGCTGTCCCTCCCTCATCCTCTCCTTCCATGGCTACTTCCCATGGCATGTTGCTCTTCATATGACAATCAGACATCTTGCCTGTGCGTCCAGCAAGTTTTCTCAGTTTTCTTTTCAGTATTTGTTTTCCTGCAACCCTCCTGTTAGGACGAACTTTTCTGCATTGTCAGGAACAATATAACCTTCAGCATTTCCTGCCTGCCTATTGAGCTTAAGTTTGCAGATCATGGGCTAGTTTTTGCTTCCTCCAGACATAAGAATCTACCTTTTTCTTCAGGGAATGTCCATGAACTTTGCAGCTGGGGGTCTCTTTCTCCCCTAATCAGGGGTTTGAGGCATTTCCTGACTGTAGGGTGAATGTGCCAGCAAGTTTGGTCTCTAGGCTGATTTTCTGTCCTTCCAGTCTTTTTGTGGCTTCTTTTCCAGAAACCTGTCAATTTTGCTGTCCTTTGGACATCTTTAATCTTGCTCCAGTCTCTACCACCATCACCAATTGTAACTGTAGGACTTGTATTCCTGCCTTTATCCATAATATCTGTTCTGAAGCTGCTATTTGAGCAAATCTCTACAACAGAGGTTTAGTTTCTATAGCAGAAGAAAAAGATGGCATTTAAGTAGCAGTGCAGAAGGTTACATTAAAGTCAGTAAACAAATAATTTTGTCACTCCCCTGAGGTAGAAAATACACTCTCCACAAAGGCACCAAGTTCCTCAGAGATTTATAGGTCTGTAGCTACCTGCTCCATAACCTTTCCTTTAGGAGAACGTCATGGTCTCAACTCCTTACCTGGTGCAGTTGCACTGCTCTGGCAGCATCCTCTTGGGCTAGAAGGGAGAAGCTTACTCTGTCCCTGCCTCTTCCAGTGAGCAGTTGAGAAATTCCTGTGAAATCTGTGGTCAAATTTATGTCACTTCCACCCACCCACTTCTGAGTTAGTACCCTCCCAGCTAGCAGGAAACATGCCTGTCCTTCGTTTGGACCCAGAAGGTCAAATTCCACACACAGGAGAACTCTCCTGCAAGGATATTTAATTAAACTATTTGAAGAATAAGTAGTAAAGGCAGCAAGGGCACTCTGTCCCTTGAGCATCTACTGTTCATTGCTGTCTTCATCCCGGTATCTGGGGGTGAGCGAAGAATTTCAACAGTGATTTGCATTCAGGGCTGCAAAGAACTTGCATGGAATCAGTGGATTTCTTGTTTAGATTTCAGATCCCATAGAGATGACTTGTGCTTTTAGTGTATTTTGCTGAAGGTCTCTCTCTGGAGCTCATGGGCTAATGTCTGAATTAATAGCCCACCCAGTATATTTGTGTTTGGCATGATTCCCAATCCTGTATGATTCATCCTCTGGCCAGGAAATAACTTGAGTTAACAATGCAGCAGCTTTGCCTCCTGCTGTGGCCCACTGCTTCTGTATCATCTGTCAGCCACTGGGTGGAATGAGGAGGAGAGATGTCAGACAGAGAAAAATGCTAATGATCTTGTTTGTGTAAATCATCCTTTGCCAATCCCCCCCTTTTTTTTTGGGATCATGTTAATTAGTTTGGATGTTTTCAGAGTAATGAAAAAAGGTGATTGATCATAATTCTTCTACTTCCTTTAGCTTTGAGCTTAGTTACATTTGCTACTAAGTTAGCTTGTAAAAAGACATGAGGAAATTGCACTATGTGCTAAAGTAAAGGCAAGCTCCAGCAGGTCATTCACATAACACAAGGGAAAGCAAAATATACTTTCTGCTTTTATATAAAATGCTCTTCTCTACTTCACTGCCTAGTAGCCTGTGGTGGTGTTGAAAATGATACAACTTTAAATTTTTTTTATGGTACTACATAATAGTTTCTATACTTCTCTATCTTCTGCATAGCTAAATTTGAAACTTCAGAGTTGGCCTTGTGTCAAGCAGTAGTCAGGGATTTCTGCTATTGGATAACTTTTTTCTTCTTCATCTTTGTTGTCTTTGTCATCTTAATCTTCGTCGTCTTCTCTGTCTTCTTCATTTGGATGCTTTCAATGCAACAACCCATGGCCATGCAATAGAGCTGCATCCAGCATTTACTAAGTTACAAATAAATGTGGGGTCCCTAATTTGTTGTGCTCCACATGAGCCACACTTGCAAGGATGGGAACTCAGCACTTCCTGGGAATTGGGCCTATTCACTGTGCCTTGAGAACAAAAAGCTTACCTTTTCTGTTTCTGCAAATTTTGCCTTTTAAGAACAAAATTGGCAATGCAAAAGTTAATCTACTATCTATGTCTGCTCTATTATGTGCTCTTAAAATACTTTCTGGAAATAGAACATTTGAGTTTCCTGGTTTGCATGTATGAATTTGCAGTCTTATTGCTTTAAGGCATGGGAGGGTGTGGCTCAGGTTTTCCTGTTTTGTTTTGGTTTTAATTTGTTTTGTCCAGGTCAAAGCTTCTGGAAAGGCTCAGTTGTAACGTTCAAGTTTATTTTATAGTTGTTTTAGTAATGAAAAATCTTTGGAGTAATTCCTTGTGCAATTAGTTTTGCATAAGTGTTTTCATGGCCTATGACTCAGAGTTTCCTGTGGAGCCAAAGAGTGAAACACAGATTTTGTTGTTTTGAGAACCTTTCAGAAATATTCCTGGTGCTATTCAACATTAATGCTCAGTGTGTTGCAGTGTCATGGGGGGATCCAAAGCTTAGTTTTCTTTGAGTGAAATCATTAGACACGCCTCACAAACAGGCCTTCCCCACATCTCTCAACATCCCTGCCAGATCTATCCACTGAGGAATGACACTTCTTTTTTCCTTTTCCAAACTAACCTTAGTGAGGAAAAACCACCAAATTTCTCCTGTTACAGAACTTAAAATTAATCTAAAGTTCTTAGAGGAAATGCTGGGTAGCGGCAGAGGCTGTAGTGAAGCAAGTAGAGACCTTTTATTCTGACGTAATGAAATTTTTATCCATAGAACAGATAATAATTTTTAAATAAGAAAATGTACTGTTCAAAAGAATAGGGTAGAACTCCTTTTAAATAAACAAGTGGTTAAATATGCTATCACCAGCTATGGAAAACAAACAAGGCTTATTTCTGTATTTTTCAAAACTCTTCACTTGGACAGGAATGTGGACCTTAACTTTTGAATGGAAACTTTGTAAAAATGAAATCTCTTCCCAGCATAAAAAGTGTTGGCAATTTGCTAAGAAAAATATTTTCAAATTTCTAAGTTTTTCTTTCTAAATTATCTTTTGTTTCCACTTCAGAGGAAATCTGAGCACAGAAGAACCCTGTATTTCCCCTAAGGGAATGACACTTTTGTAGTTCATAAAATTCTCACTTTCATGCTGTACATCACTGACCTTGGAAAGACAGAATGTGAACTGAGATGTAGCCCTGTTTGGATGCTCTCCAAGTGACACAGCTGGTGAATTTCAGAGAGAGGACGAAGCCCATTAAGTTCACTTGCATGAAAGGAAACCAGCAGCTAACAAAGTGGTTTGTGTTTAACATAAATAAATAAAAGCAATGAAGAAGCCTTCAGCAAGGAGTGATGAGATGAGCAAACTAAGCAGCCTGTTTGTCTGAAGGCTCCTGACAGGTGCTGGGCTGAGGAGGACCCGGGCAGCCACAGTCTGCAGATGGGTCCTGTGTCTGATTCCAATCAAAATGGAGTCTTTGGGATCACACTGATTGGCTGTGATACCCTGCCAATTGTACCCCTAATGTGCACCACCTCAGTGCTGAGAGACTTGATATGGGGATGGCTTCCACAGAAACACACGAAATGGAGCACTGCCAGGGTCTCTATGGCACTACTTGGCACTGCACTGAGGACCGTGCATTTGGTTCTCTATTTTGTAGGCTCAGTTGGAAGACAAATGTGTTTCTTGTAGAACACCACTGAGGATTTATCTTTAGGAAAAAAAAAAAAGGCAGTTTATTTTCATGGGCCCCCAGTTACTAGCATAATTCTTGCCTAGGACTGATCTGGCAGTGCAGCTTCACAGCTCCTATGACCAGGAATTGTTCTTTCCAAGAATTTCTCAGTTTTTGATTTGGGACTAGCTGGCATAAAATCCATGGCTGCAGCATTCAAATGCTCCTGCCAACCTCAGCTTTTTAGGTGAACTTTGAATGGTTTGGAGCACTTTGAAACAACTGTGATCTGTACTGGAGGGATGCAGCCAAGAACTCCCCCTGCCAGGGGAGTGAGGGGGAGGAGCAGCAAAGTGCTCCTCAGCCAGCCCTGGGTGACGAACAAATTTCCTGGTGTGTTGCCATCAGAAAAACATGGGTGGTACTTTCACAGTGAAATTCGGGGTGCAATCCTTTACCTAAAATGCTGGCTCTTGTTTTACTAGAGCAGGTAAAGTACTTGCATTAGGGCTGGTTTAAGCTGTACTTGCTCATGCAAACCACTGGATAAGAAATAGTATCTTCAAAGCAGAAGCCATTTTCTGCTTGGTTTCACAGCAGGAATGTGGCACCTCAAGTTCACCGAGTTCCTCTCTGTGGAGTTATCAAAGTCCTTGGTGATCTCAAACCTGTTTCTCGGTGCTTAAAGAGGACCTGGCAAATCCTGCTGCCTCCCAGCCTCCTTCTAAGGCAGTCTCTTGAAACTTGGAATTTTTACTTGTCTTTATTACGTACTTTTAACACTGCTTTGATTTGCAAGTGAATGCTTGTCCTCTAAATTTTCTGCCTCTGACCACAGAGAAAAATGTCTTAGTTGCATGGAGGGGGTATAACTTCTACATCCTTTCAGATCAACCACAGACCTGTAAATAAATAAAGCTAAAATGACAGCATCCCATACACCAGAGCCCTTGTAAATGCACCTTTGTAGTGAAAGCATTGTGCTGCCTCTTCTCGTTTGTTGAACAGACCTTTGCAAAATTACATATAATACTGGCTGGTGTTGTTTTCAGTGGTACTGACAACAGCAGCCCTCCCTGTGTCTCCTTGCAGGTAGAAGACCTGTCAGACAAAGCCTTTTCCTTGCGCCACACCAAGTACGAAGAGAGAGAGCGCGCGAGGTGGTCGCTGTGGGAGCAGAGCCGCTGGCCCAGGAGGAACAGCAGGCAGGTGTATTGGCTTTGATGAGAGCCTTCCTATTGAACCTGGTGTGGGTTGTGGTACAGGAGTGGCAGAAATGCTGTACAGAGGTTTGAAAATGAGAGCACCATTCACTGGTTAACTCATCAGGGACAGTACCAGGTATGTTGAACTTTATGGCTGGTAAGGGAAAGCAGTGTTGAGTCAGGCACACTCCCAGTTACTAAGACTTTAGCCACCCAGTCTATCATAAGTCCTCCTTCACTCACCTGACTCAGATGAAACTCCACAGTGTTCAGAGAACTATTACTGAAGGGTCCTGGGCTGTACCAGGGCCTTACACTTAAAAAGTCATTGTGTGAATGGTTCATTCTCACAGGCTTGCCATCTCATGCGAAACTCATCAGATTTAAATATAACCACTAAAAGTCTTGCAAAAAGTAGTTTATATCAGAACAAATGTTGCATTTGCAGTTTGGCCCTGAGAAAATGATTCCCATAAATCACTTCACAGTCTGCCAGGGCAAAAAGTAGCCTTTAAATGTTAGAATAACTTTTTCTAGTATTTATCATATGCTTGTGTCTATTCTTGTGTTAAAGTGAACTATGACACTAAGGAATAAATAGTCAAAGATAGCTTTTTATAATGCAGGATAAAAATAGAGCTAAGCCATATTGAGGAACTTTATTTTAAGCAATTTTGAACATAAAGCCTCCTAACTTTAGAAAGTGCACTGAAAAAAAAAAAGTTCTGTGTGTACCTTAATTTTGAAACTGAAATCCTTAGTAAAATCTTAGTGTTGCTTGAATTCAGAAGTAAACTGCTCGCTGACTTTCAGATGCATGCCACTATTTTATACCTAGTTTAAATTTCTATTAAAAGTGAGGTCAAAATTTTTAATCTTAGTACATTTTTGTTTGCTTTGCACTTGAGTCCAGAGCACAAGTGGTAAGGAGGTGCCCAAGGACTTGTCTCTCAAGTTGCACATGGCACAGTTTGGACCCCACGAGCTCCTGTGAGTGAGGTCGCTCTCCCAACTGGAACAGCCTGTGGCTCACTTACTTCTTTTGTCCAAAATCACAGTTCTGGTGAGCATGTAGAGCAAGATGCAGGAGTGGCACCAGTCACTAGCTGTCTACAGCCAGTGTGCCTGGCCCACCCAATTTATCCACTTAGTTCCTCCACATAGTGCTTTGCTTTGGCTCCAGCCAACAAGATCAAGAACCACACCAGTTTTCCTGTGCTCTTCTGGTTTAAGCAAGCAGAATAGAGGTACCATGTATGGAGAAACTGAACACTTTGAAAAGAAAATGTGAACTGCTCATGGCAATGTGAAAGGTCAGGGAGTAGCTCTTAAAACTAATTTCTAATTCTGCACTAGATCTTACAGCAAAAATGCTGATGGTCGACACAGCCAGGACATGGTGCAGAAAGACCATTGCACTGCTGACCCTGCTCCTGACCCAGCTTCGGAAGCCCACAGCTCTGTTTGTTCAGGGATGGCACCACTCTGCAGAGAGAGCCAGGAAGAGAAGGTGGGTGCTTCCAATAGCTTTCAGCTCTGGTCATTTCTTTAATGACAGCAAAGAAACCTGAAGAGACTCTCCTGTCTCACTCATCAGAATCTCAGGCTGTCAGCCTAGTTAATGTGCACTGAACGTAGTACTCCTGTTTAGAACTATATTGCTGTGCTGTGTAAATTAACCCCAGATCTGTCAACAAGTAAAAGTTTCATTGCTCAGTACACATGGCACATGTTTTTGAGGCAAATATGGAAGGACTGGGTTCAGGCTGGGATTTTTTTCAGGGGTGTTGGCCAAGGTTCCGGACAGGCCTTGTCATTAGCGGGGGTCAGGCATCCTGATGGTCTGGCACTGTGGAAAAGAGTTTCCTTGCCTGTTCAAGGATAGGTCTATTATTACTTCAAACCCTTACACAGCCAGCTTACATCTTTGTGCCTGGCAGTGTTGTATTCTTTATCTGAAGAGCCCTGCAAACTCTGTAAAGAAAGACACTTGTTTGTTACTTGATAGCACATGGTTCTGCACACAGTTAGTCAGTTCAGACTCAACTGAAATCCCTTTTTATCCTCTATACTCCTTTTCCACCCTCACTCCTACTCTTCTGCTTCCTTTCAGTCTGGGCTGTGGGAACTTCGAGTTTTTCCACTAAAAGATGAAGAGGTAGAAGCTTTACTGTGCCAAGATCAAGTAACGAATCAGACTGAAATGTCAAGTGCAACTTCCCCCAGCAACTCTTCCTGCACTCCAGGCACACCCACTGCTTTGCCAGACAATGGCTATCCACCAAGAAAACAATCTACCCAAGAGTCAGAAGACTGCAAAAGCCTTTGCCTGGGAAGCAACGGTACAAGGAAACAAAGGTGACAGGGAATAATGTGGTTCATTAAGAAAGCCAGTTAAGGTGGAGAGAAGTGTAAGGTAAAATCTCTCGTTCACACAGCATATGACAGCACAATTCAAAACCTTTATGTTAGCTGCGTATAATATATTTTCTTTCTTGCTTTGTAACAGGCAGGATAAATCCCAAAGACAACACTTTCTTCTTCCTGAACCCCAAGAGAAAGTAATTATTTCAAGCTGGAAGTCTAATATTCCCAATGTCGGGAGTGGGCGCACATAAATTGCTGGCACCATTCACTTTCTGTTGTCATATTGCCACATTTGTCAATAATCATCCTTTTCTGTTTGTTTGTTTTCAAATATATATCTGGTTCTGGTGGACTCTGGTGCAGCAGGAGATGCTGTCTACCTTATCCAACAACTTCAACTGAACACAGAAAAACTACTTGAACATAGTGGGAATAAGCGTTAGCCTCAGATTATTCTCCTGTGTGGCACGAGCATAGGGCAAAAACCTGTCTCTCTAACTGCACATGTAAGGTGAGGGTAGGTGAGAACCAGCAGTTCAAACCAGGGGATCTGGAAGCCTTGCATCTAGCTTAAGTCATGGCTCTCAGTAGTGCCAGGGCACATTTCACGTTGAAGTCCTCAAGCAATAAGGTAGAAGTAGCCACTGCATTGCCACAGTCAATGTATCTGACACAGGGGGAAGCAGGGTCTCTGCTTCGGGCCTCTGGGGAGGGAGAGACAGGAGGAGAGAGGGGTTGAGCCAGATCAGTGACACAGTCCATGGAATGTTGTGGTTTGGATCACCTTACTTCCTTAGTCCTTCGTAGCTAATGAGGCTCATAATACTTTGCTTTAAATATGTTAAAGTCTTGTTCCAATTTCTGTACAGTGCCTTGTAAGAGTCTCTCATAAGTATGCCAACATTTGGTGACTAGCTGGAAAGGAAAAGATGATTGATGTCTTGAAGAGCAATAAAAAAAAGCCCCAAAGCTTTCCATTGTGATTCTGGATAGATTTTTCATTTCCTAATGCATGCACAGTGAGAAAACAAAGGCAAGTTGTTTAAACTTGCATCTGAATAGCATAGCTTGGAATGTATCTGCAACCCCAAGAGGTATTAACAAAGATTAAACATTGAATGTAGGTGTAATCCATCAACAGGCAGTTTTTCTGTGTAGGACAGTTGAAGGCAATTTAATAGGGGCCTCTGTTTTTCGTGCAGTTTTCTTCCATGTGTAATATCTGGAATGGCACTGGACAGATGACCCAGTTTTAGTGTCAATTTATTTTTTTGGTCAAAATGACAGGAAATACACACTGGGCCTATGAAAACAGTTCAGTAAAGTTTCAACACTACATGCTATTGCTACATTGTAGTTTATTGCACATTCTGATTATTTTTTTAAACACTTTTTTAACACTGGTTTGTCTTAAACTTGAATCTTGCCTCCATGTCTGATACAATAATCTTTGATGCAAGGTTGGTTTTTTAATTAAAAGTTATTTCTATATATGTTGTATATAGTCTGAATTTGATGGCTTTTTAGAAGAAGTAGCAGCAATACTTCCTCTTGGCATAGAGCTCTGCTTGGCGTGCAAGCCCACTACAGCTTTGCTGTGGTGCTGATGCTGTACTTAGCTGTGAGGCCAAGGGCCCTCTCAGTGCAGAGGTGTGTGCTGCCCTCTCTCTTGCCCTGCATGTGCATCTGCTTCCAGGAAAAGCCTTCTGAAAGGTCAGTGTCTCAGATGTTTTGAAGATCTTTTCCATACCCCTACGTACCCCTTAGGAAGCCTGACCTGGCCAGCTCTCACCCAGCTTTGTTGTAAGGTGTGGGTTTCCTGTGTTGTCTGATCCCTGGGGCAGAGGGAGGAATTCCTGCACTTTAGGGACAGACCAACTAAACCAGCCAGCCAGGCCAGTTGTCTTCCATGTCCTGAAAGTGCTGCCAGGAAGTGGCAATACAATCCGATATATTACAGGAGGGTTTTTCTTTACTGGAGGGTGGAAACAGAAGGGTGTTAAAAAGGAGGCCAAAGACTCCCCCTGTGTCAGAGGAGCTGGGTTATCCTAGTCTGCTTAGCCTGGGAACCTGCAGAGCATCCCTGCACTGCAGTTCAGGTCCCAGCTGCAGTGCCAAACCATCGTGTGGCTGCAAGGGTCAGCCTGGTGTGGGCTAAAGCAGCTGCTGGTGGTGGGTCTGAGCAAGGGGAACCCCATTAGCTGTGTCCCTTCTATGGGCTTGCCAGCCCTTGTGGGAACTTGCTATTGCTTCATGAAGCAGCAAGAAAAAGGGCAATTAGAGAAAGGCTGAGCAGGCTCAAGACAAAGCAAAATGTCTATTTGGTCCTTACCCCAGTCCACTCACTGCAGAAATCTTTTTTCCAGCAGCTATCTCTCAGCTGGCCAGGCCTGTGACAGCAAATATGGCTGCTGGAGAACAGTGCCAGTACAGGGCTGTTCCATGCAGTGGTGGTGCACAGGGCTCTGCCAGCAGCTGAGCAGGATACATGATTGTGGCAGGATCAGGCTGCATTTCCATCACCTGCCCACCTCCAGCATCCCTCCAGCTGGCAGGGCCAGCCGGGCAGTGCTGTGTGCACATGGCAAGCGAGGTGGTCCTCAAGAAGCTGCAGGCCTGTGCCCTGTCTTCTCTGTCTCCACTTTGTCTTGGCTCCAGACAGAGACACCTGATTTTTCAGCAGCCCCCTTTCAGTACTGGGACAGGGTTAAAAAACTTGATTAAATCAACTTGGTTCCAGGACCAGCCCTGTCCTTTCATTTGTCCCTCCACTACAAGCAGCTGCAATCAGCACTGGTAGGCTGCTTTACTGCCTGCAGCCCATGCCATGCACAGCTGGGCTCCCACCTCCAGGCAGTTCAGTTTTGCATGAGTGTTGGTGTAATGAAGAAGCTGGCTGCAGGCTGAGGCCTCAGGGCCAGGCTCATCCTTGAAGCCATAATATGTGCAGAATCCCCTGCTTGTTTTCATTCCTTTTCAAAGTTTTATACAGAAAATAAAATCCCAGAAAAAACCCAACCTCTCTTTGGCCGTTAAGCTATGAAAACAGCTGTTAGTGCTGCTCCCACTGCTATGGCTGAAGGTATTAAGAGAGTGAGTATGAAAAACCAACTTAAAACCTAATGCAGCAAGGCCCTCCCATGCAAGAAAGTAGGTGTCTCTGCAGCTGCACAAAGCCATTTTCCATGTGCTTTATTTACCATGTTCAGTTGAGGCATTTTTTTAACACCACTTACGTTCTGCTTCCTGCTGCTATGAGGGTTTAAAATGCTTCATCTCTGCATCCAGGATCTTAATGGCATGTAAGTACAAATAAGAATTTTTAAACCCTATTAAAACTAAGCTCTGTGTGCATCTCCTGCAGTGTTTTATCTCACTCAGGGCTGTGGGCTGTACCACTTGTGTAGCACATGTGCAAGCCCAGCGTGACGTAGCTCTGTCCAAGTTGTTTCCATCCTGTTTTCAGACAGACCTATGCTGTCAGATCACTCCGGACCACTCTAGACCACACACCTCAATACAACAGGCTGTGCTCTCCCTGACTGCTGAAACCTTATCAGAGGATTGCAACATCTCAAGGGCCTGGGGTTTAGTCAGCCCTGGGGAGACCATGCAAGCTGCTCTCTGGGTTTTCATCCAGTCCTGGGACTCAGGGCTTGTTACTGAGTACAGAGCAGGTGTAAACCAGTCCCAAAGAGATCACTTTGGTAAATGGACACAGGTGAGAAACTGAGAGTCTCAAGCATTAAAACAGGAATACTCATCACTGTGATTTCTTGGTCATGGTCACTAACAGATTTAACCTTAGATCTGTAAAAAGCTGTTGCAGTAGGAGTCATCTGCATAAAACCACTGAGGGGGATTCAGACAGAAGCAATTAAGTAATTTTACTTTGTAACACCTCTCCCACTTCGAGTCAATGCAAGTGCAAACTTACCATCCTTAAAACAACTGCAAAATGGTTACAACCTATGAACAGAGAACATACCTTCCACAAAGCCCAGTACCATCAATTAACTAGCACAACTTGGATGTCACCCCCAAATTAATTAGGAAAACAGAAATAGTTTGATTACCCTTTCAACCCAGCTTACACTCAACTGCAGGAGGTTAGTATACTACACCTGTTGTCCTACTGTTTTCAACAGCAAGAAAAGCCAGACTGCACAACCTGAACTAGCATTTTCATTTCAGCTGGTGGCTGGCCAGTCTGCATTTTAGATACCACAGCCATGACTGTCATGCATACACTAAACTCTACACTGGTTCTTTCCAGAAGCATGGATAAGCTACTCTAACACACACCCAACACCCTTGGGACTACAGCCTTTATGGCCAAGCTTGCTTTTGGCAAACCCCTTCTGAAAAACCTCAGTACAATAGGTTCAGACAACTCCATTTTTCTTGTGCTAGTTCCCAAATGGGGCTGCAAGTGGAAACAGGAAGAAATTTGTTCACCTAAACCACAATTAACCATGCAGAAAAACAAGCCAAGTCAGCACTTTGAGATACTCCTGCAGTGTCTGAACTAGCCCTAGCTCCTGCTGCTCACCAAGGGCACTGCCCCTCGCTGGGGGCACCTCACAGGGCTCCAAGGGGCTGCAGCTGCTGCAAACAGAACAGACCCAACTCTGGCCCTGTGCAGATTGCAGCTGCTGAGCCTCCTGGCCTGGCCCCCCAAGGCAGGAGACTGCAACTCTTCTGTAATTGCAACTTAAAGGAAAAATGCCACACAGAACACCATGAAATATTTAAGAGCCAGCAATGCTAATTAGAGCCATGGGAGACAAGTCTGCCTGAAAGTGGCCTGCTCAGTCTTCCTCTAGTAACTCTAGTTCCACTGTAACTCACCTTTCATGTGCCCGAATAGGCCAGGCCTGTGGACACAGGAAACCAAAGGACTCATGACTGGTTCCACAAGCTGTTTTACAGACCCATCTGCAGGCATTTCAATCTGCATAGCTCTTCAGCAGGTACCCTTTCTGTGTCACCATCTTAATCATTTACTCAGACACATGTACAAACCGAGGAGATTGTGGAGCAAGAAAAAGCATTTTACTTATCTGAAGAGCATTCTTCTGAAGAGTTCCATCACTTACAGGAATTTCAGACACAGCTGTCTTAACTGGCTATTTGAAAGGTAAGTGAGAAAATATTCCTTACTTCATGATCTAGTAAAGATGCTGCACTGACTTATCTGATGCTGGATTTCTATAGTCTAAGTACTTCCAATGCAATAGAGGCAATTACAGGAACATTTCTACCATCACTGGGATTTTAGCCCTCTTAAGTTGCCTTTTCCCTAAACTTACCCACTTATTTGTGACAGTCAGCTTCAAGAACTTAACACACCAAGGAAGGGGTGTTTAATGCAGTATTGGACAAAGTTTTGTAGAAATGCACAGATCAAAAATGACAAAATACAGACAGCAGAAGGCAGTTTGATTAAGAGTCTTCCACAAGAGAGATTCTTGCAGTGATGCTACACTCTTCTAGCAAGCAACAAACTGACTGTAGTTCAACCCAGTCAGCATTAGAGGTTGTGCCACAAAATTAGCCTCCACAAAATCAAGAGACAGGTTCAAACCATTGCATTTCCAACCCTGAAAGACAGCCAGAACGTTCCCACTGCTGCTTGCTTCATTGCAGTGAAGGAATGATTCCTCTGTTCAGCAGCAAGAAGTTTCTGTAGTTGGTGTTCATCCAGCCCCCGCTTATGCACGAGAAAAGGGTTCTCCTGCACGCCCAGAGCCTTGCGGAACACGGCTTGGGCAGGTCTCATCGATCCAGGCTGCGCTTCTGGGCTGCTTCTGAACACACGTTCCTCAGGAGGTTGATCACAGACCTGGGGTCTGCGCTCTTCATGATAGCGCTGCCAGACACAATCATGTTGGCACCTGCCTGGGAGACAGCAAACCCCTGCTCAGTCCGTGCCACACAGCCACTGCCTGCAAAGCACCCAGGGAATTCTGGGCTGCTGTGCCAACAGCTGGGACACAGGTGACATAACTGTCACTAACTGCAACCTCAGATCAAGTTCACAATACACAGCTCATCCCCAAATACGTAATTTCTCCAGCACATTGCTCCTATTTACATCAACATAAAAGAAACAATGTTCTTTGGCTTAGGGGAGGCTTCAATAGCTACTATTAAAAAATAGGCACAAAATTAGACCTCAAAAAGATTTTGATGTTAAATGTGTTTTACAGTTCCCTCTGAAAACTAAAAATTTCTCCTCAGCTTTATTTTCTGTGAGTTGATAAGTCTCTCAGCACAGTGACTGAAAATGTTCTGCTGCAAGCTCTTACCTCTGCACACTTATGGATGGTGTCAGGCCCCACTCCTCCATCCACTTCTATATCCAAGGAGGGAAACTGTGTCCTGAGCCACTGAACCTGAGGAACCACATAAAAAGCTGAGCACTGACCTACCACCCTACAGCTTCTCATACACCTAGAAAAGGTTTATCTACTTCACTACTCCCTACTGTTAATTAGCTTTTAGCTCAATAAATAATGAAAGAGAAACACAGTTTACCTTTGGCATCATGTCTTCCATAAATTTCTGTCCTCCGAACCCAGGTTCTACTGTCATCACCAAAGCCATGTCTATCTGATTGGCCCAAGGTGCCAAGTGTTCAACTGTAGTGCCAGGCTTGATGGCCAAGCCAACCTGCAGAGGGAAGCCAAATCCAAGGGCACCTTAGGGCAAGACTGGCCTGAGCTCAGTACAGATAGCTAGGAACATATTTACACAACTGTGTAATGGCAGGAAGAACAGGCTTCTTTATTTAAAAATTCCAGATTCATGAAAATTGAAGACTGACTTCATGCACAGTGTGTGTTAGGGCTTCATGTGCTGATCCTAGAGCACCTGAAGTGGCGACAATGAGTTTTCCATAAAATAATGGAATCAAAATACCTTGAGTTGGAAGGCACCTACAAGGTTAGAGCCTTGTCCAAACACACCTGGAGCTCTGGCAGCCTTGGGGCTGTGACCATTCCCTGGGCAGCCTGTCCAGTGCCCGCCCACCCTGTGGGGAAGAACTTTTTCCGGACATCCAGCCCAAATCTCCCCTGAGACAGCTGCAGGTTCCCTCAGGTCCTACCACTGGTCACCACAGAGAACCTGCCAGCAAGGCAGCTGTTAGTCAAGCCGAGCACAACGTGTACTCCCTCACCTTCATGCCATTCTCCCGGATGTCCTTTATCAGCGCCCCGGGGTTGTCGGTCGCTTCTAGATGGAAGGTGTACTGGTTTGCGCCGGCGACTGCCATGGGCTTCACCCACTGCTCGGGCTTGGCCACCATCATGTGCATGTCTGCAAGAGGAGAGCGAGCGGGCGGTGGGGCGCGTCCCGCGCCCAGCGGCAGCGCCCCGCAGCCCCCGGCGCTTACCGAAGAAGGGCTCCTGGCCCAGCCGCTTCCGCAGGCTCTCCACGACGGGGTGGCCGAAGGTGATGTTCGGGACGAAGTGTCTTGGGGCCGAAGAGAGAGACGCGCCCGCCCGCAGGTTACCCCGTGCCGGCCGGGAGGAGCGGGCCGTTCCGCCCGCCCCCCGCGCCCCTGCCGCTCCCGCCCGGCCCCGGCGTTACCCGTCCATTACATCCAGGTGCAGGTAGTCGGCCCCGCAGTCCAGCATGCGGCTGCACTCGGCGCCCAGCGCCGCCAGGTCGCTGTTGAGGATGGAGGGCCCGATGCGACACCCCGACGCCATGGCTGCGGCCGCGGCGGCTGCCGGGACGGCGGGCGGGCCGGGGCGGCGCCCCCGCCATCTTGGGCCGCTGCTCCGCCCTGCCGGCCCGCAGGGGCGGGACTAAGAACAACAGTAGTGGTCATAACCCTTGTTGTGTGGGCGCTTTCAAGCTCCCGACCGAGTGTATTTTGTGCCCCCCAAAGCACCGGTCCGCCCCCCCGCGCGGGGCTGGGAGCAGGAGGGTAAACATGAACACGTCGGTATCCCGGAACAGAACCGCGCATGAAACCCCTCAGAGCGCCGGGCACCGACCGCGTTACGCAACACGCTCGAACACAGAACTCTGTCCTTTGCCGTCGTTCCTCTGTATTTAATCCTCGGGACAACGTTTGCATAAAATGCTGAGGCAACGGGACCGACTGACACGCGGACAAGACGGGCACAGCCGCACATTGCTGAACACGACATGCGCTTAAGGCGAGGTCTAACACTATGAACAGCAGCAGCGTGTGTCTTCAGAGCAGAAATAACACCGCTTCTGGAACAGAGATACCGGAGGAAAGCACGAACCACCTAAAGTACTTGGTATGCCGCTCATCAGGACGGCATTAATTGCAGCTGATGGGACAGTAAAACGCAGCAGTCAGGCTGACGGGCTGGCCTGGCTGTGCCACCTCTGAGCACTCATCCCACAAAAGCAAAGCCAGCTGCCCAGCCACCTGCATAAAACTAAATTGCAGAATACATCATTTATAAGTTGCATTGATTTCTAGTAGGGTAGACATTTAAAAGAGGCATTTTAGTCCTTGCTATGGCTTACTACTGTGGATTCACCTGTGGCACTGGAAACTTGAAACTTGAACGTTATATACACGGAATTAAATGAAGTAAATCACAGTTACTTTGTCATCTCTAGAGGAGAGTACTGTGGGAAGGCCTCTACTTTTCATTAAGGAAGATGCTTCCTCATTTTCTGCAGAAAAGGTCGCTCTGTAAAGTGCACCATGAATTCTGTATGTGTTGTGTCCCAGCCGTTTCCTCGGCTCCTGCCTGAAGCTTTCCTCCCCCCAGACTGCCAGTGACCAAGCCTACCTTGGGACTTGAAAGCAAAGCTGTGGGTTTTTTCCTCATTTGTGCGTCAATGTTAATAATAAATCTTAACATCTGGAATTCAGCAATTCTTGGAGTGACCTCTGAGCTAGGAGCTAATCTAAAGCAGCATCCTACAGGTAGCTGGCACAGGCTCCAGTGCACTACGGAGATAAAAGCAGTACAGCATGTTTTGATCAGCAGAGGAAACAGTTTGTTATCCAGGACATCTGCTGGGACACTTTCACCTCTTACAAGACCAAGAACCCTTTGGAGCTGCATTAGAGCACCACCTGTATATCATATAGCCCCAGATATGTGGGGGATAGAGGTGGTGAACTATAAAAATAGTTTGTTTTCCAGCCCTGCTGTTCCCAAGACATGCTGAGATTCTCTTTCTCTCACCAATGGAGTGGTAGCAGAGCACGCTCAGCACCTGGGACAAAAATGGCTTTTTCTCTCTTCAGAGGTTTAATGTGACTGAGTTCCCTGCCCAGACTGGTGTGTACAGCTCCTGTCAAACGTGAGCATCTGGCAAATGCCAGGCAGCGCAGCCTAAGGCTCCGTGGGCTTCACAGGCTGAAACCTGCTGCCAGGTGTGTGGTTAATGCTCTTAGCCCCAGGAAAACCCACGGGCTGCACTAAGCAGCAAGGCAGCCTCCAAAGGGTAGCACTGCAACAGCTACTGCAGAGCCCCTGAGGAGAGCTGCAAGTCCTTTCTTTGGAGATGGCTACAAGGATACCATTTCCCTCCTTAGTAAGGCTGGTTTATGATGTGTGTGTCAAAACTGCAAGCCCTCAGAAGCCAAAGTGGTAATGAGCACATTTTAGATACTCTCAGGATGATCCAAAACATTTTCCTCTGCACAATAACGGCATGATTATAAACTCCAGTTAGTCTAACATGAGCCAAAAAAGGCAGTGTATGATTCCCAAGGGTAACTTTGGGCATTGCTTATGATTTCATGGTTTGTTTCACAGCTATTTTGCAGTTTGCCTGTCAGCAGCTAATGGCTAAATTCACAATTCAGTGTAATTCCATGATGCTGCAGAAAAACCCTTGAACTCAGCTGTGACTTCAGCTGATCCCCCCAGGGATCTCCACCTTCTATAAATGTTACATACATTTATCTAACACTTGCAGCCATGAACGTTACATACATAAAATGGAACCTTTTAAAATACAATCTCAGCATGCCAAAAATAGATTATTTCATCAAGTGTCTGCCCTGCAATATCCATTTTTTGTTTACAATGTACATATATATTTATATATATATATAGTGACATGAAAATACCATATATAAATATTTAATTTAAATCCCTCTACGTACATCCAACAGCATCAGGGGAGCAGTTGCTTGGGACCAGAAGGTCCACACATTCCAGATGCAGTTTCTTGGAATATTTTTTTAAACTCTGGAGATGAATAGCTCAGTACATTAAAGCAGGAGAGTGTGGGTTATTTATACCACCTGCAGACCACTCAGCCCCTGCCCAGCTGTGTCTGTGGACAGCACATGCATTCCTGCTTATGCTATAGACTGTATTTAGTTTTACAGAGAAAATATTTTTGTAGCACAAGGGCAATATTTTACAGAGTGGAATGGAACTAACAGACAAAAGTAAACTCAACTAAAGTCTGCAGTGCCAAAAAAAAAAAAAAAAAAAAAAAGTCTAATTGCTTTATGGCGCTTATTTGTTGTTCTGCATGTTAGAAACAATGGTCCCAGGCTTGAGAAAATCAAGCTTTAGATTGGTACGTTCTGTCAGTGTTTTCACTGTTTTCAAAGTGTAAGAGCCTTGGATTCAGCTGCTGTGTAGCCCTCCTCTCAAAAATGCTACAAAAATAAATCTCAGGCACAGTCTCAGAAGAGACTTCTCTGTCTCACACAGTCCAACTGCCCATTACCCAGTGAGGCTGCTGGTCACAGTACATGGCTGTGGACCACGTGTGCCTACACACCCCTGTCCTGAGAATTCTGTACCAATTCTTGGGTCCTGTGGTCCTGCCCTGAACTGAAATGAGATCTCACAAATAGGAATGTGCCAGTCTATAGCACCTGGCTGATAGCTATTTCCTGCTTTTGGATAATAAAGTGCTTTTGCTTTAATTAGTTACTATTTAGCAGGGAACTCTAAGGAAAGGTAAACACTTCCTCCTCCCACTACTGTACTTCCCTATGAGTTAAACATGAGATTCATCGAGATCAACATCCGTCTCCCCAAGCTCCACGTGCGTGAAGCTGAAGTGAGTGGCCAGCAGAGGATTCTCCATGCCGTTGTCCTCACTGATGTGCAGCACAGTGTCCCCATGCTGCAGCAAGCTGGTGGTCTCCAGGCCAGTGTAGTCCTCGGTGTCAGAGAGCTGGGTGGGAGGGGTGCTCTGTGCTGTTGCTGGCCGGGATTCCAAGCCCTCCTCTTTCTCCTTCTCCTCCTCAGCAGAGAGTGCCTCGCTCTGCAGTTGAGGACAGTTGGTGGTCAGGCTCAGAGAAAGCAGGAGGGAGAGGGGGGAAAAAAGGAAAGGAAGGTCTATAAAGTATTTTCTCATTCAGATACACATTTTACCATAAAGAACCAGTCACTTGCAGATATTAAATCCCTTAAAATTATACTTAACAATATACTTTTGCTGGTGAATCAAATTTACATCACAGATCAGAAAGGTTATCTGATTTGAGTCATTAACACTCCCTCATTTAAATCTTTTTAGCATATGGCTTCAAATGGAGAGTAGGTTTACATTAGATATTAGGAAAAAACCCTTTATACTGAGGATAGTGAGGCACTGGAAAAGGTTTCCCAGAGAAGCTGTGACTGCCCCATTCCTGGAAGTCTTCAAGGCCAGGCTGGATGGGCTTGGAGCACCCTGGGCTAGTGGAAGGGGGTGGAATGAGTCCAAACCATTCTGTGATTCATTCTATGATTCCAAAGACAGAGATCATGCATTTGTGCAAAGGACATAACCTCAAATGACACTGGATATCTGGGTGTATAAAAGTTATCTCAGTGTCACTGATGTGCTGAAGGGATGACTGGGATTGTCCCTGCACAATCCTCAGTGGGGGCCAACACAGAAATATGTTGGACAAGCAATTTCTTTTGCAATGTGATGCTTAAACAGTCCTGAGGCTTTGATGGATTCCTCCCTAAGGGGGCATCTTTCAGGGAGCAAGCTGTGAAAACCTGTTGAGGACAGCTTGCCTTGGTGATTGGGTCCAGAAGGACACTGTATGATGGGAAGATGGAAAGGGAAGATACAGAAAATAGATTTTCAAATTAAGAATTGTTGCATTGACCTGGAAAGGAATGGCTTTATAGAAGCAGGGGGCTTGACAGCAAACAATCTAAAGAATAGCCACACAGGAGAGTTTGCTGTCTTTACCCTGTTTCCAGCTTTCATCACAGTGCTGTAATGCACCCAGCACCTCTCCGTGCCTGGGACGGAGCAGCGGAGGGACAAGGCTACAAGCCCAGCAGTGACATTACCTGGCTGTGAAGATCAGCCACAACGATGGCAGGAGAGGAAGTCAGCACAGGTTTGCTGAGGGGCTCCTGCTGGCCGCTGGCCTGGGGGCTGCTGTGGCTGCAGCCCGGCTGCTGCGGCGGGTCCACGGCACCCGCTGGGGGTGCCTCAGGCTGGGCTTCGGTGAACGTCACCGACCGCTTCTGCTCCGCTGCAGGGTGCAAAGCCCAGAAAACTCAGGGTTACAGTTGGGAAGAAATACACGAGAAAAGAAGAGAGATAATCCCTGGGGGTTTTACAATTAAGACAGGATTTGTGGTTCCTTCCATCGTTACAGAAGCTGTCTAATCAGCATCTAATCTAAAAGTCTTTTACCCTGGGTTTCCAATACAGCAAGACTCTGGGATCTCCTGGAGTCTAACCAGCACACCTGTCCTTGTCATGGCTTGGTGAGAAAAATACCACCCATAACATCTTTCCATTCCAGAAG